ATTTAATGTTTATTTTTGAGAGAAAGACAGTATGGGTGGGGGAGGAGCAGAGAGAGAGGGAGACACGCACAATCTGAAACAGGCTCCAGGCTCTGAGCTGTCAGCACAGAGCCTGACACGGGGCTCAAACTCACAAACTGTGAGATCATGACCTGAGCCAAAGGTGGTTGCTTAACAAACTGAGCCACCCAGGCGCCCCTCCAGTTTTTCAAGTTATGACCTAAAGCTTAGCCTTAGCATTAACCAAAACCTAGTTTTAAAGTTTAAACTGTTTTTTATTTACTTTTCTTTTCAGTGTAAGAATTATAATGAAATTAAAAAAAAAAAAAAAAAAAAAACACTTCATCCCCCTGGCTTACCTTTCAAAGTAAATACAGATGGCAAAAATGTAGTCCAAGGCAAGCTGTCAGCTAAGAAGTCAGGATTCGTCATTTATACTTTTTGCAGAAACCAACCTTTGAGAGGAGATGTTTGTGGCCTTCGTGGTGGAGATGGTTTCCCGGGTGTCTACTTATCCCCAGATCGTACTTATCCCGTTTTCTATGAATTATGTGCAGCTCTTCACACGTCACTCTTATCTCCATAAAGTGGTGAAAAATGAAAACACTAGGCCTGTAGGCAACAGTGTTGACATCAAAGATTGAAAAGCACTTTGGATTCTGTTTTGGATTTCCTACTTCGAACCAGATTCTAGATATAGAGGTTAAATTGCATGGTGCTGTTATAATCGTCTCAGACACCTGCCAAGTAAAGCCTTATAATCTTTATATTGATTGCTACTTAATAAATTTTAATAAACGGACAAGTGATATAAGAAGCCTACAAAGAAATCTCTTGTGTTTAATAGAAGAATGTATTATGAAAATTGTTTCTGAGAACCGGAGACGGAATTCAGAATTCCATTATTCGATTCAGAAGCAACTGAAGGCTTCAGAGATTGCCCCAGCCAAATAACAGGGTGGAATCAAATCCGTAACAAACCTAGCAAAGTATTTTAGGAGTTTCACTGTCCAGACCACCCAGGTCCCGGCTATTAGTGACTGTGGCACGTTCTCATGGTGCCTTTTTCTTTATTTTCCCACGACCTGGAAGAAGCAAATGGTCCAGTTTCTAGTTTTGAACAGCTGGAGAAATCTGTCATATTTTCCATCATCAGAGAGGTTTTACACGAAAACATGGTGATTGCTTTGGGGTTTATGTACAGAATCAAGAACGTGGGGCGGATGTTGATTCCAGCACACGACAAACTAGGGCCGGTTAATGAGGTGGCGTCTAATGAGACAGTGCACAGGCACATGACCACGCTGGTCTGGACGGAACAGGATTGAGAGGCTGAGTGCTTTGCAGGGTCCTACAGTTTGAAGCACGTCAAGGGAAAGTGAATCGCTCTTAGAGACTGAAGGTGGAATACATTGGATCCAATAATTAGCAAATCATGTTTCAAAAACTGGCATTATAATATTTCATTGCTCAGGTTATCTATGCACTCAATATTCAGATGAGGGTGATATTTGTGTCTGACTGCAGCTGTTTAGGACCGATTCAATAGGACAGGACAGAAAGAATGCACGAGCAGATTTAGGGCAATGTTGGATAAAATGGACTGTTACTACTCAAAACAGTTTGAAAGAGAATACATGTTGAAAAGCGGAAATCATAGGATGTGCTATTTGTAAATTTTTTTTAACATTCATTTTTGAGAGACAGAAAGAGACAGAGCATGGTGGGGGAGGGGCAGAAAGAGAGGGAGACATAGAGTCGGAAGCAGGCTCCAGGCTCCTAGCTGTCAGCACAGAGCCCGACCCGGGGCTCGAACCTACCTGAGCCCAAGTCGGAAGCTTAACCAACTGAGCCACCCAGACACCCCAGATGTGCAATGTTTTTTGTCTCTCTATGTTGCTCAAATATTTTTCCAGATAACTTCTCCAAGAATAAAGATTATGTGTAGAGAAGAGGCTCCATACATAGCCTCTACAGAATTTTTGGAAGCTAAAATTTATAGCAGTTATTCTCCAAAAAACAAAAAACAAAAAAAGACAGTGGAGGGGATCCCTTTGGGATTCATGTTATCAAGAAATACTCATGCATTTTTATAAATATGCTTTACTGGACAGGTAATCAGGAGCCCTAATCCTTACTTAGTTCTAGAGTGACCATCCTGTGACCTCAGGCGTGCCACTGATCATTATATTAATGTCTTCCCTTGCCCTCTGACACACCCAAGGGTCCCCAGGGAACACACTTTGTGCCCCCTCTTGAACTCCTCCCTCCTGGGCCAGCGTCTAGGGCATCTCGTTCCTTCTACCTGATGGAATTTAGTTCTGCATCACATTTTAATACCTGGACCTCAAGTCCACCTGTTGGCTCCCGGTGTGTTGGTTAGTGAGAGCTTAAGACCAGATGAAGAGCTCCACCGTGAGATACTGGTTTCTCTCCCGGGTGTTACCCTCTCCTGGGCTCCATGTGGCAAACATAGAAGGTCAGGTCTTTGCAGCAGGTCTGGCTGGTCTTCATCAACCTCGTGGGTCATTTCACACATGAGGAGAACATCGAAGGAATTTGATCCCCTCCACCCTGCTGACAGCTCACGGTTGCAACTCACGAGGGCCTGGGCCCGTGGGACCCCGAGACGGGGAGCCCGTGCAAAAGTGGGGGAAGGACCTGGATGGAAGAGCTGTTCGCAGACACCCGCAAATTCTTCCGGCGGGCAGCCCGCCTTCCATGTGGCCAAGCACACCCTCGTGCGACCGCGGCACGGACCATCTCAGAGCCCCCTGTGGCACAGACTGCTAAATCAAGTTATTCCTACCCCCAGCAGAAATACACAGCCGAATCTCCTACTGGAGCCTCCGAAATAAATCGGAAGGAATGGAAATGGGTGTGTCTGACTGCAGCTGCCCAGGAATGATGTGATAGGACGAGACCGAAGAAATGTACGAGCAGATTTAGGGTTTTGTAGACGTAACTCTTAGAACATAAGGAACAATTCAGTTTTCCCCATTGGCGCTCAGACAACGATGATCACTGTGAAGCATTTTTACTTCTTCATAAAGTGAAGCACCTTTGAAGGGTGATGAAGTGGGTGAAAGAAAGGGAAGGTGCCTGGGACTCAGCACTCCGGTGCTCCTTGTAGACGATTCTGTGCAGCCCAAGTCCCACAGTGGCTGCTGGTAATGAGGGCACTCCTGTCTCTCCTCCGCATGGGCAAGAGGGGCCATCGGGGAGAAACCAAGCCCAGGGTTTCAAAGCCACTGGGCATGGAAGTCGAGTAATCTAAATCCTCGTCCTCTGGCCATGGAGGAACTCAGACAACAGCCCATCCCTTGGCCTGCAGAGAGAAGGAGGCAGTTGGGATCTCAGCATCACTAATTACTACCTCTCTGCCAATGGCCTCCCTCTTCTCCGTGTTCTCATCTCCAGCTGGGTCCTCCTGTTGAGCTCTGGACCCTGCATGACAGTTGCTCTGTACATTTCCTGTTTCTCATCCACCACGCGATTGGCCTATACCGAAGAAAGCCGGGGCAAAACACGAAAGTACAGAAGAGAAAAGTAGGAGCTCAACCAGGGCGTGCGGAGTCCTGTGAAGCACTGGGGATCTGCTGGGTGTCCTGGCGGAGGCGTCCGGGACCTGGCTCACTCCGTCCACGACGGAAGACCCCGATGCCATGTTTCGGACTGGCTGCCGAGAGGAACATGGACAGGAACGTGGACAGGAACGGGAACACAGAGTGCCTGCGGCATGCCGGCCAGGGAGAAGCACTTTGCTGCTTATGAAGGTGTATCGCTAGCAAACTGTCTCTGTCTCCTGGGCTGGACACACAACTCGAAACGCCGGGTTATAAAAATCATCAGTCTTTCTAGTACGTTAGACTTTCTCCAGGCGGGTAATCCCTGCTATGTCAGTGGGTCCGGTTATAATTTTAGCCTGCAGTGTTTGCCGTGCTCCATACACAGGGGCTTTTTTGGCTCAGGAGAACTTGAATCTTTCTTCTCTCAACTCAGGACTGTTCTAAAAAGCATAGACTACGATGTGACGGCACTCAAAGGGGTCTTTGTAATTTAATTGTCCATTCTGCCCTCCACCTTGCTTACTACCAAGCGGAAATCAAATGCGCAGATAAGGAAAGGCTTTGCTCCCAGCCACTGGGACCCGTGACGTGCACCGACTGCCTGAGAATTAGTTCAGCAGCCCCTTTCTGAGCCAGAAATATCTGGAGAGAGTGCAGCTTTCACAGCAGCTGTGTCATTCACTGGTGTGGTGGGTCAAAGCCTGAGATAATCAGGGGTTCTTTCTTTTCCTCTGCACCTGCGAAAGCACATTGCTAATTCCCTTACAGATGCCAACAGGCATTCAGGCTAATAGAGTGCCATTCGGATTAACCAGAGCATGTCCTGAGTGCCACAGCGGACTGTTTCACTGCGGGGCTGTTTCTAAAGGGGGAAGAGGCTGAAATCAGAGGCTGGCTTGATTTACATTTCTATTAAGCGTTGATGGAAGAATTGTCATTTTTGTTTGCATTCCACGTATAGCAGAAATTACTTTAGGCACACATATTGAAGCATTAATTAATGCAGGCAGGGGGTGGGGGGGAGGGATTAGTGTGTCACCGACTGTCCTGAAACATTACATGCGAATAAGAATATTTAAACTAAACTAATTTCGGCGGGTTGTTTTAACATTTTCCTGACATAACATCTTAACCAAGAGAACCATTTTTAGACTTTATATTGAAGAAGTCTGTTATTAGGAAATAAATACAGGGAATCGGTCTCATGTTGTAAAAACTGCCGTAGTAGCAGGTACATTGCTTGACAGTTTTTGAAGCATATTGGCCCCCAGCAGTAAGTAGAATCTGTCAAGGGAAGAACATTTATGACAAACCTCAGCTGTGATGGTGTCATCTTCCAGCCTTTCTAAAATGATGAGTGGAGCCTCTTTGCAGATCTGTTTTGCTTATCAGTGTATCTAAATGATGTGTAACTTTTTCTTTTTCCCCTAGTGGTGAACTGCTCAGATCCAGGCTTTGTGGAAAACGCCATTCGTCACGGGCAACAGAATTTCCCTGAGAGTTTTGAATACGGAATGAGTATCATGTATCATTGCAAGAAGGGATTCTACTTGTTGGGATCTTCTGCCTTAACCTGTACGGCGAATGGCTTATGGGATCGGTCTTTACCCAAGTGTTTGAGTAAGTGAGGGGTATCTTGGATTCTTGCGCCACAGAGCCCTGTAAGACCAGGAGCAGAACAAAAGAGTAAAGAAAAAAAAATTAAGTCTTTACAGATTGTGTAAGTTATTATGATATCTTTATTGATTGGCCAGAAATCACAAAATGCAACTCAGACAAGTTCAAGGGTCACGAAAGGAGAGGGGACGCGAGCAAATTCTGACACCAGCTTCAGAAGGAAGCAGAGCCAGTGTTTGGGGCAGTGGTTGGACTCAGTCTGTGTTTGCTTATTACAACAGGGACGATCGATTCTTGACCGTATCCTCCTCCTGACCCATATGATTAAGAGGAAAGCATATTGCCCTAAAGAACGGAGGCAGTATTTCTAGGCAGACACAATTATAGGTCATCATTATGTGGCCCCTCTCACGACATTATCAGTATTTGTAGACCATGTAGATGAACAAGAATACATTTTCCCCAAATAGCTTTCAGTCTTCCCTTCTTTTAACTTGATAGACCATATTGTCCATTAGCTTAAAGACATCCTCTTTTTCAAACAGTCTGACGGTTTAGGAAAAGGGGTCTTTTTGGCCTTTTAAAAATCATTCGGAAACAAAACAGTCCTTAAAATCAAAATGTCATCTTCTTCGTATTCATTTTATGTGCATAGCGGATGTGGGAACTGACAATTACACCTTAAATTGAATTTACTGGAAAAAAAAAGTGATAATCTGTCTTACCTCTTGCATTATAGCGTTTTTAGTACATTTTTAGAATAAATTAGTCCTGGAGATTGTTTGTCCTGTCCTTCAGTGTCCCTCACAAGCCTCCCAATCTACATGGAAACTCGTCTCGAGTTCTAATTGTAATGAGAGAATTAATTTCTATGGAGAAAGCCTGACTTCTCTCAGAATCAAATGCACGGCTTCATACGCTCAACAATGCATCTATAAATTGATTACAATCGTCATCATGTGTTGGCTGCTTTCTGGTTTTCTAGGCCTTCACACACGGGAATTTGTCAGAGACGTTAGTTTTCCTGTCTCTGCCTCCCCACACATTTCTTTTGCATCTTCCCTGGTTGATGTGAGACTTCCATTCGTTTTTGTAATGATGCCAGTGTGCTCCAGATCTCCGGGAACTAGGTTGGAAGTGACTCTCATCCTCCTGGGTGGCTGGTTCCCACCGCTTGCTGTCATTAACAGTCGGAATTACCATGAGCCTGGGGATACAGGTTCTCCGAGGGGCCCTTTGCTTGTACTTGGGCTACGGCTGCTAAGCTTCATCTCTCTTGTTCCTGCTATTGTCTCGCTGCTTTTTTTTCTCTTCTCATTTCACCTGGAACTGGTCATTTGCCAACCGTTTACTAATTCGGCCCTAATTGGCTTCCTTTTAGGACTCCGTCTAGATAGAATCTCGTTCACCAATGAATGGATGTCAGCGTAAGACCATATCGATATAAGGGCGAATGTGACTCAGGGGATGCCTAATGTGTTTCCACCTTTTAAATCTGCCTCTCTGGTTGATATCACTTTTAGGTTGCCAGTGATCAAATGCAGTGACGCTCGGGTGTTACATCAGTGGGCTTTGAATGATTTGTCTGTAGCCTGAGTCCTGCCAGAGTTGTGTGCCGCACAAAATTTGTCCACTGTGAATCCGAAGCTGGGACTTTACAGAAAAGGAGAGCTAGATCTTCACTAGCCTACGTTAATGTGGATTCCGGAATTTTCCTTCTTAAGGATAATTTATGAGTGGATTATAGGCCTGACTTGGCATCATTTTAAAGAAGTGAACGGGAAGGCTGAAATTATTGTATAGAATATACTGAGGGAAGGTTAATCGCTAATTTTTTATCACTACTAATTCAACATGTTAGACCACCACCTATTCCAAGGAAAATTGTTAAAAGGGTCTTCCTGGGTCCACAGACTGGAAGATTAAGCAGATACAACAGACTTTTCTCCCCAGAAACCAGTATAAGATTGTCATAGTAATAGTCATATACTTGTAGAGTTGCGTGGAAATAGTTTTCAGGAATCTAGGTAACTTGTAACATTTTGTATAATATAATACTGATTTTTTTTTTAATAAAGTTAAGGGCAGGTGGAGAAAAAATGTAGGTAGAATGACTTTGAAAGCCTACATGGAAATTTTTATCTTAAGCAAGACTACCTTAAGATAAAACAAAGCTAAAACAAGATTCACTGACAGACCCTTTCTTTGTGTTCAGTAATATATGGATATTTAGGAGGGGGACTGTCATCTGGAACATGGTATTTTCCATTTATGGGGCACTGCAGGCATTTGCCAGTATATTTAGGCTCTTTTCATTTTATAGGTGATGTTTGTATGGGTGTCTGTATGGGAGACTTACCAACATAAGCACTTCAACAGGACTGATGTAATCATTTATTTTATTTTTTTTTTTTTCCTAAGCTATATCATGTGGACACCCAGGGGTTCCTGCCAATGCTATCCTAACTGGAGAACTATTTACGTATGGTGCCGTAGTTCACTACGCGTGCAAAGGGAGCCGTGATCTTGTAGGCAACAGCACTAGAGTGTGTCAAGAGGATAGTCACTGGAGTGGGGCGCTACCCCACTGTACAGGTGAGGAATTGCTTACGATGTGGTGTCATGGTACAGACACGCCAGTGTGCCATCTGGTCATCTCCAATCTTCATCAATACCTTCAAGTGCCAGTCACTTCCCATTTCCTCCTGTGGGAGTCCTGGGAGTTCTTTTTCACCTTGGCCAAGAGGCCTGCCTACCTGGACTCAGTTTGTCCCTGGTCATTCTTGATTCCTTCTCCGTACCTCCTTTCAGTTCTTCCACATCTTTTCTGTCTCGGTAATTGATAATTCCATCGACCCCCTTTGAAAACAACGTCATCTTAATTCTTTCATGAATAATTCTTAAGTAAATAAATAAAAGTCAGTGAGTCAGCAGCTCTGGACATAATTGAGAAGAACCAAACCTCTCATTTGATTGGTTCTTACACAATACAACTTAGTCCCATTTCCCTTTCATTATCTGTACTGATGCATCCAGTGGACAATCCCTGCGTTCATCATTCCCAGGATTTTACTTCTTCCAGAGAATATAAACTGTTGTCGTACTGCATTTTTTTTTAATTTTTTTTTAATGTTTATTTATTTTTGGGACAGAGAGAGACAGAGCATGAACAGGGGAGGGGCAGAGAGAGAGGGAGACACAGAATCTGAAACAGGCTCCAGCCTCTGAGCGGTCAGCACAGAGCCTGACGCGGGGCTCGAACTCACGGACCGTGAGATCATGACCTGAGCTGAAGTCGGACGCTTACCTGACCAAGCCACCCAGGTGCCCCCATACTGCATTTTAATAAGCTAGTTTGTTTAGTCACACGGGAACAATTTCTTAATGTTCTCCACTTGTGCTACAATTGAGAAAGTCTTTCTTAGGAGATCTCCAGAATGCAGTGTGACTGTAATGCACAGTCTCCTTAAACTTAGCAGCTGTGGTAAACAAGTCTAACAGTATTCTGTATTACCATTTGTGTCTGCGTTCAATAGGAAATGATCCTGGATTTTGTGGGGATCCGGGGACCCCAGCGCATGGATCCCGGCTTGGAGATGAACTCAAGGCCAAGAGCCTTCTCCGTTTCTCCTGTGAGATGGGTTATCAGCTGAGGGGCTCTCCTGAGCGGACGTGTTTGCTCAATGGCTCATGGTCAGGACTGCAGCCCGTCTGTGAAGGTGAGTACGGTCAGGCCTGAAAGTCAACCTGTGCACTTGGAACCATGTAATTCATTCTAAAATGGCCAGTGATTTCCACAGACATCCTAGAGGTGGAACCTTTGTGTCACTATACTACTTTCCTCCAACTTGTGTAAGGGGATCATCCAAACTCATGGCTGGGTGTATGGAGGTGTTCTGAGTGCTCAACAGGTCATCTAACCCAGATCCTTGCCTTTTGAATGTTTATAACCTAGAAGAGGTTTCTGATCTTCTGATAATAATCTCTGTGGGATTTGGTGGCATTGTGTGGTCGCTGGTAATGAACAGCTCCGGAAAAGGAACAGTGAGTAGAAGGGTGTAAATCCCTGACTGTAACTTCTGCGGGCGAGATAGTCTTCACTTCACATCTTATTTCCAATCTCTTGGTGGCCCCTGTCCAAAGCAGGTATTATGAAAGAACCTGGCTGATTTTGTGCATAATGTTTTGGGGAGAATTTTCTGTGCGTTAGTATTTGAGAGGCGTAAGTGGACACGGCAGGATGCCTCGGTAAGTCCAGTAGAAACACCATGCATACCTCACCATGCCAAGTATTGGCGATTCCTGCCTTCAGCCAAGGTGGGATGCGGTATCACAAGTTTGTTTAGAGCCCAGAAAGTAACTGACTTAGAATTCAGACAGATAAGACGTTAAATGTTCCAAATGTGTTTTTTTTCATACAAACTTCTCAGCTACTTAATGTTTGAGTCTAAAATGAGGACACAAATTAAATATCCATCTTTCCATGAATGAAACACTTGCTATAGAATTTGACCGACTTGAATAAACTGAAACAATATCAGTACCAGAAATATAAACTAAGTTTTCTTCATCTTCGTTTTCTCTGTGCCGTCTTCACTGGTATCTGCTCATGTCTCATTTAATATATAGAATAATATATTTGTTATATGTATTATATAGAATAATAGAAAAGAATATATATGTATCGATATAATCAGACTATTACTTATAATCTCATAAAATCATATAGGAAATACAATCCTATATATGTACGTGTATATGTGAATATATATACCTTATATATGTGTATGCATATATATATATATATGTGTGCATATAATCTCATCAGAGTAATAGATTATCCTAGAGGTATCTATATCTAGGTAAAGAGATGTGTGTATATAATAACCCAAGGTATTTTTTTTTATTGCAAATCACCTTCTCACAATCAAGTTAGCATAATATTAAGTTAGCGTAAATATCGAGTTACTGTAAATATTAAGATTAGGCCCTAAAGAAGTTGACTTTACTCAAATATGATTGAATAGTAATGGTGGGATGCCACCTGCCACTGTGAGCTACAGGATGACACTTTCCTGTATTGGCTAAAGTATGTGACTCTAAATTAGTAGACACAGTGTTACTCAGACACAATGTTCTCAGTTTCCCCCTCTCTTGGAGAATTTGAATATTACAATCTGCATGACAGCACATCTTTCTCACCCAAACCAGAGTATTTTCTACTCTATAATATGGTACCTCAAAGTTGTACATGACTTCTGTAACCTACATTTACGCTTCGTCTAAACCTTTCCCTCTATACTCCGCCTGGGAATTGTCTGTCCAGAATATATTTGAAGATTATTAAAATTAAACAAGAGATCCACTTTGCTCCATGACATGTTGAATGCCAGTAGGCTAGCCTTCTTTCTGGGGACAACTGTAAAACAACAAAATATATGAGACATTTATCTTATTAAACAACAGACAGTGCATGACTGTGTTCCATAGGAGAAAAGGAATCCATGAGGTGAGCCCATAATCTCCTGGTATATTTTTCTTACGGCACAGTCGGAAAGTGGAACTCAGGTGGTATGGTGGCTTGGTGAGGTGATGCAACAAATTGTTCTAGGCTACTGAAACAGAACTCACAGAACATGGAATCTGAGAATGGCTGGCTGAAAATGGGAGAGCCCCATAAGTCTGTGGACGTTCACTGGGTGACTTGGGTCAGGGTCAGGCAGATGAGAACAGGTGAGACCCATTGACACAACAACCTTCTGCTGCAGAGTTGAGAGTGGACCCATGATACTAGAAGTCATACCCTACTGAGAAACACTGGACATCTGGCCAGTCAGAGCTCTTACTGTGCCCTTGGGACATTTCACAGATGCCCAGAAAGCCCCATGCATTATGAATATGTACCATTCCCTAAAACAAGTGTAACATGCTAGAACTAAGAGCAAAAACATGGTAGGACTAAGACTGAATAGATCTCCTCTAAAAAAGAATGAAACTGATGGCAACACCCAAAGGATGTACAATTAGTTTAAAAGCCCACCAGAACAAACTCCAGCACATTTGGAAGGAAGGACATAATCCATGCATCATTTTGTGCACAATGTCCAGCATAAATAAAAAAAATAACTACATATGCATAACTCAGAACGACATGACCCCTAATCAAACAAGGAAAGAAAAAACAAATAGAAATAGGATCTGATCCTGAGATGACCCAAATGTTGAAAATAATGCATAAGGACTTAAAGCACCTATTTAATATATCTTCATGCACTTGGGGCACCTGGGTGGCTCAGTCGGTTAAGAGTCCAACACTTGATTTGGGCTCAGGTCATGATCTCACGGTTTGTGAGTTCAAGCCCCACATCTGGCTCTGTGCTGACAGTGCAGATCCTGCCTGAGATTCTCTCTCTCTTTCTCTCTCTACCCTCCCCTGCATGCTCACACGCACACACGTACCCCCTCTTTTTCTTTCAAAAATAAATAAATAAACGTTAAGAAAGTATATCTGCAGGGACTTAAAGTATGTTAGCATCATAAACAGATGGAATCTTAATAAGAAATGAAAATAATAAAAAAAACAATCTGATGGAGACTCTGGGATTGTCTGGATTGAAAACTATAGTATCTGATATAAATAAGCTTTGCAGATTAAAAATGGCAGATGGGTCAGTTACCATGAAGATAGTTCACTGAAAAGGATCCAATCTGAAAACAAAGGAAAAAGAGACAACAACAACAGCCTAATAATTTCCTATGGGATGATATCAAGCAGTTTAACATACTTGTAATTGAAGTTCTAGAAGGAGAGAGAAAGAGTGGGGCAGAAAACTGGTTGATAAATTATTGGATAAAAGTTAACCAAATATGTTGGGAAAATACAGCTCCCAAAAGCAGAACAAACCTGACTTAGATGCCTTCATATTCTCTTAAAAACGGTCACTCACAGGGCACCTGGGTGCCTCACTCAGTTAAGTGTCTGACTTCAGCTCAGGTCATGATCTCAAGGTTCATGAGTTTGAGCCCCGTGTGGGTCTGTGTGCTGACAGCTCGGAGCCTGGAGCCCGCTTCGGATTCTGTGTCTCCGTCTCTCTCTGCCCCTCCCCTGCTTGTGTCCTATCTCTCTCTCTCTCTCAGAAATAAACAAACATTACAAAAAAAAAAAGGAATGCTCATTCACTTGGGACTGTATATTCTATTCAGGTTTACCATAAGCACTTTAGTTTTGCACATTTAAAAGGTGAAAAAATTTAAAACAGTTAAGAATGAGTGATATTTTTCCATAGGAATCTCACTTTGGTGCTGTGATATAACACCATGGGCTCTATTCGAGCAAATCATAAATGAATTCATTTATTTGATTAGGAGAGCTTAATTGGATTTTACTTCAAAATGTACCTAAGTCAGACCATGCAAAGTATTTTTAGAATAGCATTTGGTTTATCTAAAGTTAGAAAGTCAAGTGTTTCTTATAAAATCCTTGGAAACTTGGCTATTAAAATCTGTGTACAGAAAGAAGCTGAAATGTTTCAATATGGCAAAAGTGCCCAAACATGCTATGCCCTACAAAACTGACTACCTCAGAACTGCGGTGTTCAGAAATCATGGGAAGTTGAGTGAGTAAGAGTGTAATTCATACTCACAGTAATAACAAGTGATGGCTAGGAATGTATGGCTAATCCTACACCCCCACAAACACACATGTTTAAATCTTTTGGGGCAATCTGTGGCTATTTTTTCTCACTTGTTATCATAGAGCCAAACCTTTGGGGAACATATTATTCTCTACAGAAAAGGGCGTTACCAGTGACTTTGGCATTTCCGCCAGTGTTGGCTATGACTGTATTCAATCCGGTGAGACCATCTACCACCTGATGAACTACCTTCTCTGAATCTATTAAAGGCATTAGAGCCTGATGGGGCATTTCAATAAATGGTAAAAAAAAAAAAAAAAAAAAAAAGAGAAGAGTTTATGAAACACAAAATAAAAATATTTTAAAAACTCTTAAGTGTCAAAGAACTTACATTTGTAATGTATTTCCATCATTTCAGATCATGTTTTCTTTGCTCGCCATCCAGGCTTGTAAACATAGACTCATCGACTAAACTTTTCAAATGGATGTATCGTAAGAAGTTGCTTAGATATAACGGCCTCATTGGTTTTAGTTGCCTTAGGCAACTCTGAATCCTCTTTCCCAGGAGCTGATGATAAAGCCTACCTTTCTTCCAGGTAATAGACAAGCTAGCACAATGTTTATAATGAAGGTAGCAACAGCATCAGCCACCCTGTCTACCTCTACTGCTACTAAGATGTCAGATTGCCTTCTAGGCATTTTGCATGCATTACGCTTAATCTTATGAAAAGTGAGAGTAACTACCCTTATTATACCCATTCTGCAGTGAGGACGCTGCATGTCAATAACTTGATTTGATGGCTCATGTGTACTTAAGTTGTATGAGCAAAGATTCAAATCCACACAATTTAACTCGATCTAGCAGCCATGTCCCTAATGCAGAGTGCTGCCTGAACAGTCCCAGCATCTGTAGACAATACACGGTTTCTGGAGTGAGTATAAGGCTCTTTTATTACAAATCAAGTAAAAGAAAATGATCTTTTACCAAAAAGAGTCACATTAACCATGTGTAACTGAAAAGATAAGATGTATTTAAATTTTTTTAACTTATTACTTATAGAATATATTGTTTCCCTTCTGTGACTGTAAATGTCATCTCTTGTTTTTCCTCAGTGGAGGTCCTCCTATGTCATGGAGGCATTAATGCAAACACAGACATATTAAGGCTAACTTCCAATCTTCATTTTTCTTTTTCATTTTCATGGGCATAACCATCAATGAAACTGTCCTTGTCAGGATGGGGCACCTGGGTGGCGCAGTCAGTTAAGCGTCCGACTTCAGCCAGGTCACGATCTCGCGGTCCGTGAGTTCGAGCCCCGCGTCAGGCTCTGGGCTGATGGCTCAGAGCCTGGAGCCTGCTTCCGATTCTGTGACTCCCTCTCTCTCTGCCCCTCCCCCCTTCATGCTCTGTCTCTCTCTGTCCCAAAAATAAATAAACGTTGAAACTGTCCTTGTCAGGGAAAAAAAAAAAAGTTAACCGTGAATTTGATTTTGCAGGATACAATTATCTGAGGGACTTTCTAAAATTTTATTTTATTTTATTTTATTTTATTTTATTTTATTTTATTTTAT